CCTCGGCGCCCCGCCGCAGCCGGGGCCGTCCTCCGCGTCCCGGTCGCGGCGCTGCCTTCCTGCCCGAGCCTCGCCGGCAGGCAGCCAGACACCCTTGTCGCTTGCAGGGCAGCGCCGTGTTTTTGGCGTCAGCCGCGGCTTGTTTGACGGGTTTGGATGGGAGACGTGATGGGAGCAGCAGTACCCGGCAGCCAGAACCAAAATTAACGTGTTCCATCCATTGTAGCCGCAGATGCAAAGCAGCGCGACGGGGTTGCTTGTACGTATTCCTCCTTCCCCACGCAGCTACTTGGTGTTCGTACTTGATTTTTATTACTTAGGAGGTCGTCAGAAAGCTTTGATGCGATGTTCAGTAGCTTAGAAGAGCTTGTGTTGTAAAGCTAGATAAAAATCGATTCGCGCTTCATTTAGTTCGCTGAAAACAGACATTTTTAATAGGACTATGTGTGAAGTCTGTTACTTGGAAGTTCTGTAAAAATTCAAATATATTTTCAAACCTTGCGCACTGTATTTGAAGAAACTTCAAGTAGTAGGCGAATCGCAGGGAACGATGCTTCCAAAACTAGAATGAAGCACAGACCCGTTATTGTCTTGACAGACGCACAGTTTTATTGGGTGTTGTCAAGCAGTGTTATTCTACTTTGCCTGAAAGGTGTGCGTTGACGAAAACGTACAGAAAGTGTAGTTCTCATAATAGTAAAAATGCCTGGGATTATTGTATTCCTTTTAGTGTTTATTGTATTTTTCCCCTTTAAACATATAGAACTCATTATTTGGACATGAGAATTTTTATTTAATGTCAGGGGTTTGTTTACATTAAATAAAATGAATGGTTTATGTAAGACAAGTCAGATTTATTGCTTCCATCATTTTAAAAAATGTATATTCAGCAAGAAAATATTATCTTTGGTATCAAAGAAAGAGTAGCAATGTTACAAGCGGTTTTCTTCAATATAGATTCTTAGTCCATCAATAGCATGCCCGAAGCACACCGCAGTATGGCTATGGATGATGAAACAATACAGTTTCTGTTTAATAACAAGATTGTCTTTGCTCTTTCCCAACCTTGTTTTAAAATTGTGACAAGGTAAAACACAACCTTATATGCTTAACAAAATTGCCATCCTTTTGTTCATCGTAGATCAGTCTGAAAGATGATGCATTTCTGTAGCCCTTTATTTGCTAATTTTTAACCAGTGACTGAAGGCTCTTTTTAACCCCGAGAAAACTTGTTATTGAACCCTTCGATTTAATTAAGGGTATCTGTCAGACGGCAGGCTTTCATCTTAAAATTAGATGAACTTAGATAATGGTAGAATAATTGTTCTGGACTGCTGATTCTCACAGTAAAAATAGCATACGGAGACTTTCTTTTCAGCACGTTTGGTGCAGCTGTTCCCATACCACTTCATTGTTGCTTCCTGCGCATAAAATCCTTCCAGTGCTTGACTATGAGAGACAATATAAGGTGAGAAATACCAGCACAAGTCATCCTGCAGTAGCTATCAGTTGTCTTGCCGACTGACAGGAAGAATATAGCTTATCCTAAGCAATTTTCCACTTATTTACTGGAGAATAAGATGGTGCACACCAACAGTTATTGAGGAATCACTCATGCAGTGCAATGCAAAATTCAAGCTCTAGTTTACTCTCTGTTAATCTGAATTATTTTCTCGATCTGAACAGTACAGAAATCGAGGCAAAGCTATGTGCTGAAGTTGCCTGTGTAATTAGGCAGAAACGACTTAAGAAAAATTATCATCCTTCATTTTTCTATTAATTCTTCAAGACTCTGAATTTTAAATCATTGGAAAAATACCCTAGGAGGAGCTGAATGCTTTAACAAAATGTAGATCACTCACCATTAGTTTTAAGTAAGAAAATCAGCATGATACCTTTCTTCACCAAGTATACAGTAAAACCAAAATGCAACCTGAAAGCCCCTCTCAGTGTACCTTTTGTTCTTCTCTCTGCCTTTACCTTCTCACACTTCCACATCCTAGCAAATGGTGTTTTAAAAGTGCCTGGGAGATGAAAATTGAATTAGTTCTGGTTAAAGAGCTGTGAGAAGGTGTAGCTCCCATCTGGATGGGTGTGTCTACAGCTCTACAGAGGCCCTAGAAATACTCTTGCACTGTATTGAACTTTGTGGCTTTCCCATCGGGGAAGAAATGGGGGGGGGAAAGGGGTGTGGGATTGTGGATACAGGGCTGGGTAAACAGGTCCTGTGGGTAAGGTGTAGAGGTGGTGTGGTATTGGGGGGAGTGAGTCACTGGAGAGAGGGAGGTTGGTGGGGTTGTGTCAAGGTAACCAGGTCCTGTGGTCACGTAAGGTTCTTCAGCCTTAACTTCTGTCTGGACGCAGACAGAAGTCCCTATCTTTAACTCTCATCTTTTAATCTAGGTAGTCCTTCTTGTATCACCTAACCTGTAGTATTCCCTAACAGCTTCTCTTTTAAGGTGAAGTTTTATTGCATTAATCTAATCTTGAAGTAAGAAAAATTATGATAATGCCAGCAGCAGCCTCGGTATATTACAGTAAAGCCCTGCAATGATCATAAAAAGCAAATTAAATTGCTGCTATAATGTTCATAGCTGATAGCACCTCAGGAAACATGAGAGCTGAAGGCTGATAACAACTGGGAAACAGAGTCTTTTAGTAAAGTGTTGGCTGTTACTTCAAGCATCTCTGTTGACCAAATCATAGGCATATACAGTTGGATGTCATCAGCCTTCTGCAACGCTGTCTATAACTGAAAGGTACCAATGTACTATACAGCTTTTCTTTAGGGAAAGAAGCAATTAATCACCCATCACAGTCACTTAAGAAAAAAATACTATGTTTGTGATTCAGTATTGAATCATTCATGGTGTACAAGGCTGTAGCTGCTTCAACTGTAATGCAGCAGTCAGACGTGGCAACTAGCAGATGGACATCTGAAATCCATTCATCTTTGCAAGGTGATTAACACATGGACAGAAGAAGGTCTAGAGCCAGACTAAAAGTCTCAAGAACCAATTATATTGAAATTGTGTGATGTATCTGACAATGAAAACGTATTTTCTTTGACATTAAACCAAACCGACAGGTAACTTTTCAAAGAGAAGCCATAGTAGTGCATCATTCAAAGTAATAAGCAGATGGCACAGCGTTCACAGTCTAAAAAGGGACATTTCTGAGTGCTGTGTGTAGTCTTGGAAGAAATAATGCCTCAATTTGTCCACTATTGATGCTAAGTGATTGCTGACAAAGTGAAAGATAGAGGTTTTAAGCACACCTTGTACCTGAAAGGATTCAGATTCGTATCTTTTATTCTTAAGGTACTTTGAGCTGTACAGCAACTGTGAAGGGTGTAATAACCCACAGCATCACTCCAGTTAGAAGTGGCCATTCCTCAGGTTGGAAATAAATGAGCCAGAAGAAGAGAGATCTTTGTGATTCATCCACTTACACAAGAGTAGGAAGAGCTGCATTCTCACTGTTGCTGTAGTTGTGTCTTAATTATGCAGTCATGAAGTTGGGGAGAAAAGAAAATGCTAAGTCAAACAAAAAAAGTATTTTCCACCTTTGACCTACAACTTGTACCTGGCTGCTTTCTTGGTAAGGTATGTATTCCATATACCTTAAGTTACTGTGGTAGGATACTGTTACACAGATATGAATGGAGGGGCTTAAATTCTGCTTCATCAAATATTAAACATTTTCTTTAGCTCACAGTAGTTAGGGAAGGCATGGGTATCTCTGTGTTGGGCTTCACCTTATCTAACTACCAAATAGTCACAGTTATGCATGGAAAAGAAGTAAATCAATATATAGTAGAATTTATTACACCAATGTTCAAGATTGCCATAGATAAATCACTTAGTAGATTGTATTTTTAAGTAGATAATTTCCATGGGTAAGTAATGTCTGTACATGCTGTTTCTTTATATACTACTATGTAGACATTTCTCCAGAAAAGATAGCATTCTAGCAACAAGAATAATGTGTCTATCTAGAGAGGGTGTAAGTTCTGCTAGGCTCCTGAGAAATCTCTGTGCATTAAAAACAAAGTTTAAATTGGTTTCATTTCAGACTCTTCTGTAAGGAGATGCAAATGAAGTCTCATGTATACCAGTTTTGTTAACAGTGTTGTTGAGAAAGGCAGGAAATGGTGAGGAGGGAAAGGAAAGCAATCTGAAAAAGCACAGAAAAGAAAAAAATACCAGTAATTAGAGAAAACTAAATCGAGGTACTACATTGTAAACATAAAATTTAGGCACTTTATCATCTTGTTCATAACAGCACTTACATTTAAAAGCTGGGGGGGGGAAGTAATTATTAAGAGAACATACTTGAATCCTATATTTGAAGGTATGTTTTACCTCTAAGCTCATAATCTTCCCTAAGTTTTGTAATTTAAAAACACTTGCATTGGTTTTGTGCATTTCCCTCTTGGATCCTGAGTAGTTGATACTCTTCCTAGCTCACTAAAAGAAGCCAAATAATCTCCTGAAATACACCATGCATGTTTCCAGTGTTTCTAATCCTATTCAGAGTCCTATAGCTTTGGTTAGCATGCGACACTTTTCAACTGTACTACAGTCACAAAATTACTACCTTAGCTATACAGCTCCAGGCTTGCATACGGGAGAATTTCAAATGGCTTCTGGCCTCCCTTTTGGAGGATTCGTGTACAGAAACACTCTGAGCCAGCCTGTGCCACACATTGCAGAAGTGGGAGTAGCAGCGAGTGCGTATTACTGTAAGTGCTGCCTAACTCTGGAGGCACCGAATTGACCATTGCTCAATATAAGATCTGACATTGGAGTCCAGCTAACACATGTTCTAGTTTAAATGACTACAATATCAGGAAAATAAGAATATTAAGAGATCTTAGCTATTTTTTCAGACATACCTTCTGTCAGTTTTGTACTAGATATCTAACCTCAAAACTATCCAGGATGACGTTCTGCATTTTAATTGATGCAGTCACCTTGACTACAGTAGTTGCCCTCAGCAGCTCTTTTATTTGCTACATGTAACTCAAATAAAATATTGAAAGACATATTTCTGCGTAAGATACATAATCAGAATATTTTTACTTTTTAGCATAGTGAAAAGTATTTTCACCTTCACTATAGGATTAAAAAAAAAAAAAACAAACCCAAACAAGTTTGTGTCAGGGACATTTACAGATTTATTTTAGCAGCTGCAGTGTCAAAGAGCTGACAGCTACAGAAACTGCCAAGTTCTGGTTTTCGGGTGTTTCATCTTTTGGTAAAATACCATAGTGTATTGGTTACTGTTGAATGTAAATTAAATGTTTTCAGCCTTAACTTTGTAAACAGATTTAAATTAACCATTCTTCTCAATTACTACTAAAAACAAGTAGAACTAAAAGTGTAACTGATGCATTAAATTAACTTTTTCTCCTAACATACCTGAAATATGAATGTGTATGTATATTAACTTACAGTGAGGGATTGCTAGTGGTGTGTTGCTTACGCTTCTTAATGTTCATTACTGAAAGAGCTGCACTTCTTGCCCAGGGAACTTCTATTTAACTGGACAGAAAACATCTAAACAAATTATAAGAAAACTTTGCATTTTTAAAAAACCTTCTGGTAACGAGCAGGAAACATTTGTATTGGCTGGGCCTTCTAATGAAGTGTAATTAATCAGTCTGCCTGAATCTTATTTTTGACTAGAAATCTTTTTATGTATTCAGTGGTGAAGAGAAATATCTACCGTTACAAAGCTGTGAGAAAAGAAAGGGACCAAGCAATATGCAACTTAAACACTTCTGGAGATGAGACAGAATTGCTCAACATTGTTCATCCAAAGCAAAGGACAGAGAGCAGTGCTACAGTGGTTGTTGATTACCCACACAAAGACCATTGTGCTTCTGTGCTATAGTATGCTCAGAGGCTTGCTCTTTGCTTTATCTGTTCATGGGTATTTGTGCCTTTTCTCTAAAAGGAAACAGCAGTGTTCAATCTCTTCATATTTTTTTATTGTCCCTTTTCACTTTAGGAAGCCTAAACTTTGTTTTGTTTGTGGATGACTTACTGTCTCCCATTTGCTCCTCCTACTCCCAGTCTTACTGTTGAGTGTGGGACATCTTTCCTAGAACGTAGTAGCCTCATACGTTGTAGTTATGATATGCCCCAGAGCCCGTTTCACAGTTTTCTACTCTTCAGAAGCTATGAAACACTTTGTAGTAAACTACTTCAAGTTGCTTGGAAGAAAGCCATTATAAAAATGCAGAGAATTATTGCTTAAGCACTTGGATAAATTCAGGATTTCCTCATAGAAACAGGAAGCATCCCAAATCTTATGCCATCTTTGTTGGCATTTGTAGGCCGATGCATCATAAGTTCCTATTTGACTGTCACTTGTCAAAGGACAAGTCATAACAATCAGTAAAACATGACTCTTGGGCTCAAAGCCAAGAGGTGTAGGTTTCTGAGTTGTTAGCTAATCTAGGAGATCTGACTCACTTTGAGCTCCAGTCACTTCATACACGATCATATGATCTAAGCTAATACTATATCTGATTATTGTTTAAAATCAGTTCATTGCTTGATTACAGTAATTCAGTGTTACAAGTTTATAAGCACCATAAAGGGTGGAATTAACTTGCTTTATGGTATTCCACTTGAATCTCCACAAGATCACTTTTCTCTCACAGTTCCTGTATCACATCTGCCAGCTCTGTGCATATGTCTCTTCCACCTTTTGGACATCTGGAGTGGCCACTGCGAACTGTTGAACAATCATCTGAATCTCACTGCAATCTCATGTTTTGCTATTAACCATTTTCACTCTCTCAGAATAGTCTGAACAACATCTTGGATTCAGGATTTTGACAAGAAGTGAATTACTCTGTTGAAGGTAATGCGGTCATTCCCTAGCTTTGGCTTTCAGAAGTGTGTTAGTATTTTACATTCATCAAGTCATTGTGTCGGATAGACCACAGAGTAGAGGGGCGTGGGAGTAGGCTGAAATGTTCACAATGCTGTAGAGGCAAAACATGCACAAAATGCAGTAATCACCCAGATTTAGATACAGTGGTCTGATTAAAAAAATATCACTGCAGCTAAATTTGAAGTGTCTGAAAATTACAATTTACTCTGCTGGCCATCTCTCAAGTTCTCACAGATTTTTATTCTTAGTTTGAAATATTTCATGTTTCGTCTCCGATTGTGACTGAAATACAGGCAAGAGAAACGTAACACATTTCCTGTAGATTCAAATGACTTATACAAATCCAATTCACATGAGTCTAGATATTCCTGTTCATTTAGAACGTGAGAAGTTCCCATGTACATGTTACAACTTTCCGTATAACTTGTAGAATTTTTTTTGAAGCCACTTCCTCTAATAGGCAGGTTTATATTATGGAATTTATTGTATCATTCATAAATAAAGATTATCACTGAAATGTTAGCTATCTCTTATGCTATTGTATTTGTTTAAAAATACATATTTGATAGTTTCATGGGCAGTTTTCTCCACCTTTCAGGTATTTACATAACTTGTCAAACTAAGAAAGAAAAGCTATACTACACTTACACTGATGACAGGGTTTTGTTTTTACAAAACAGGTGTGACAGTTGCCTCTGTTTTTAGCACACACACATCTATACACACCAAATCCTGATACGACTAAAGAACTGCTACCCTATCAGGTTAAGGATCAGAGAAATGTAAAAATAAGTTTCCCAGAGAGCGTATTCTACTATCCAGATTGCATAGCAATACCATTTTGTTATGTATTAACAAATGAGTATTTGGCTTGGTCTGACAATATGCTCAAAAACCAACAGGTTGTGGCAGGAACTGAAGAAAACACTACTTGAGGCAAGGCAGGAAAAAAATTATCTTGAATTTTTGTAATTCTGAGTTGATTAAAGGTCAGCATGAAAACAGGTATTAAGTAATCCAAATTAGGGAGCCTTCCTTTTTCCCACCCTAGAAAAGTCTGGAAAGTCCCTGTTGTTTGCGAAGCTGGCAAACCACTTCTGTTAGAGGTGGAGAGGAAGCACTGCTTGACTTAACGTATTTCCCCATCTCTAGAATTTTTCTACTTGCTTTTAAAAAAAGTCATGACATAGCCAATCAGATGGCCAATTTTCATGCCAGAAGAAGGTCTTCCCCTTGGCAAGTCAATTAAAGTATACATCCCTACCTTCCTTTTCCTTCTAGGTAGTCTATTTATAGCTATCCATCTGATTTTCATTACTAGAGGCATAATTGATCTTTTGTCCCATTTTGAAGTTTGTATGCACCTGTCTCCCAGGTTCGTAGTGAAATCAATTATCCCTCTGGCTACAGATATATCTTGGTACTTCATTAGAAGTTTGTCAGTGTACGTGGAGTCCTTTCTGTTAGATTGACAACAGGTGATTAGTGGGGGAGTTATAGCAGCTTGCATGCTCAGGCTTATACCTGAAGTTACATTAATATGTTCACTATGTTGCTCAAGTAATAGGGTTTTGTGGAGGTCTGTTAACAAAAAAAAACCCAAACCCAACCAGACAAAAAAAACCCCAGCTGAGTTCATTGAGTGAGTTACATTATTTCATTCTAACTTTGTCATCACAACAAACAAAAAACTGCTCTTTTGGTTGCTTATGATCAAAAATTGTTATGTGTGAAATTATTATTTCGGTCTAATTACAGGCTTTAGTGGTCTTTATGCTCTTTTGAGTGAAAAAGATATCTAAGCACAGCAGTCAAAGATCGCAAGTCATTGTATGAAGGTAATGGGATGTGATCCTTCAAAATTAATTTGATCTTAGATAATTAAATAAAAAATAATTATTGAATATATTACACATTCCCTAATTTAAAAAAAAAATAAATAAATTGCAGAATTCAGTGTGTGGGTTTGAACTAGATGATCAAGGGGTCCCTTCCAACTTAAACAATTCTGTGACTGTTCAATTATGAAAATACATTTAATACCAAATTTTGTTGGTGTGCTAATTTTTTTTAATCTGAAATTTTGGACTTTTTGACAGTGCTGTTTGTTCGAAATAGTGGAACTTTATATATAAATAGCTTGGTCCAAATTGTATGGTTTTGTATCTGTACAGCAGATAATATGTTTTAAGATATATTGTGATCTGATTACTGGTCATTAATTGTCAAATCACTTAATTTTTTTTTTTAATTAACCGACTTTCCTTTTATGTCAGTGTTTTAATTTTGTATGTCAGTGTGTGAACCACAAACGAGTAGAGAAGCATTTAGAGAAATTTCCCCAGCTTCCGAACGTGAAGTATTTTGCTTCTCCTCTCGAAAAATTACACGAGAGAACA